GCCTCTTCCCACTCATTCTGCTTGTTAATTTCCTTTAAGTTTTCTTGGAAAATATTCTTGAACCTTTTTAGTTGTCCATCCGGCCTCCTCTTACAGTCTACAAGCTCACCGTAAAGCAGAGATTTTGGTATGCAGTTTTCTTGCATTCTGCATACGTGACCAGCCCATCTTAAGCGGGACTTTGTAATCATGACTTCAATACTTTCGCAGTTAGCTTTTCAAGGACCGATACGTTTGAGACGTGATGGAACCATTTTATTCTTAAGAGTTGTCTAAGATGTCTCTGTTGCAACTTGTTTAATGCGTTCATGTGTCGGCGGTACGGCACCCAGGTTTCGCTTCCATAATATAACGTGGTGGGAATTATTATCGCTCGGTACACCGCAAGTTTCGTTTTTGTGCTCAAGTCATGATTTTAGAAAACCCTGTCTTTTAATTTCCAGAATGCTCTTGAGGCGCTGCTAATCCTGTGCTGAATTTCAGAGTCGATATTGGCCTTTTATAAGGATATGCACGGCAACAAGGATATGCACGGCAAGATAGTAACACACAAACAGGAAATCCTACACTCTATTAAACTTTTCTATCAAGAACTTTACACATCAAAACAGCAGGGGATCAGAACCGACATCCGAAAGGTAATAAATCAGGGGTCGGAAGAAATTCCAGAAATAACCGAGGAAGAAATTATCAGTGCCCTTAACAATAGAGCTGCCGGCGACGATGGACTGGTAATAGAGTCAATCCAAGAAGGAGGACCAGAAATCATCAAAGCTTTAAATGTCCTATTTAATAAATGCATTGAAGAAGAAATAACCCCATCACAGTGGAACAACGCAACCATCATTATTGTACACAAGAAAGGTGATGTTACAAACCTTAAAAACTATAGGCCCATCAGCCTTCTTCGCCACGTATACAAATTATTTACTAAAATACTCACCAAGCGTTTGACAAATAAAATAGACTTTTTTCTTTCGAGCGAACAAGCAGGTTTCCGATCAGGTTACGGAACAAATGACCATCTTCTAAGGTCATTATCGAGAAATGCATTGAGTATAATAGACCACTAATGCTTGTCTTCGTGGATTTCGAGAAGGCCTTTGATTCGGTAGACCAGCGGAAGCTTCTAGAGACATTAAGTGAGAGTCGCATCGATCATCGATACTCCTCAATCATAAGACATATATATGATAATGCCACGGCAAACGTCGGAATATCGACAAATCAATGCACAGATAAATTCAATATAAATCGAGGGGTAAGACAAGGCGACACACTGTCCCCTAAACTATTCGTTGCTGTGCTAGAAAGTATGTTAAAAATGATAAACTGGGATTCAACAGGAATTAACATCGATGGCAAATTGATAAATCATCTCTGTTTTGCAGATGACATTATTTTAATAACAGACAACATACAGGAGGCACAGAATATGCTGGATATGCTGAATGATGCTTCGGAAAAAGTCGGTTTGAAAATTAACTTGTCAAAGACACAATACATGACAAACCTAGTACTAAGTGGAAATTTAAGCAGTAATAACATACCTTTGGAACAAGTGCATATATATAAATACTTAGGGCATGAGATCGGTATTAGAAGGGATAATCAGACCCACGAAATTCTACGAAGAATAGGTTTGTCGTGGGCGGCATTTGGCAAACTAAGGCATATACTGAGATCTGATATTCCCATATGTTTAAGAAGAAAGATCTTTAACCAGTGTGTCTTGCCTGTCCTCACGTATGGAGCTGAAACGCTTACTTTGACAAAAAAGAACATACATAGAATACAGGTCATGCAACGGAAAATGGAAAGGTCTATGTTGGGAGTTACACTCAGAGATAAAATACCCAATCATACAGTACGAAATCGAACAGGAGTAAGAGATGCGGTGATATCTGTCTTACATCTTAAATGGAATTGGGCAGGACATGTGGCTAGGATGACAGATGGACGGTGGACAAAGAGACTTGTGGAATGGAGACCGAGACACGAGGCCTATAGAAGCAGAGGACGACCTCCTAATCGATGGACAGATGACATTAAGAGGGTGGCTGGAAACTGGATTCAAGTGGCACAAAATAGAAGGAAATGGCTAGAGTTAAGGGAGGCTTTTGTTCAGCAGTGGACGGTATAAGCTAAATGATGATGATGATGGTGATGATTGGCCTTTTCCGAAATCAAACTGCCGACATAATTGAATTCCGTTACATATTCCAACAGCTCATCTACGATTTTTATAGCATTGTTGTGATCTTCCGGGGGAGTGCACATGATTTTAGTTTTATCGATGTTCAGCTTAAGTCCCAAAGCCTCGTATGCCCATGTATATGTGTTCAACATTTCTTGCAATTGCTGTAACGTATTTGCAACTAGAGCACAGTCATCAGCGTTATGAAGTTCTGTAATGAATCTACGTGTTTTTGCCCTGAGTCTTTTTATGTTGAACAGACCGCCGTCGTATCTGTATCTAATGCCCAAACCTCTCTCCTGCAGTTTGCTGTCCATTGTAATGGAGAGCGCTGCCATGAATATATTGAATAAGAGAGGCGCGAAGACACATCCCTGCCTAACGCCTGTGTTTGTTAGGAAGGGATCGCACAGTGATCCATGATATGACACTCTTGATTTGTTGTTGTTATGGAGGCTTTTACACACTGTAAGAAATTTGATGGGTACTCCGAACTTTTTCATAATTGCCCAAAGTGCATCTCTGTTCACAGAGTCGAAGGCTTTTGTTAGCTCGATGAATGATGAATGCAACGTAAAGTTTAGACTGCTGCTCTTTTACTTTTTCCTGTAGTTGCCGGATGGAGAATATGGAATCGACGGTACCGCGGTTGGTGCGAAAACCCGTTTGCAATTCTGGGAGGATTTTTTCTATATGTAGGTGCAGGCGGTTTGACATAATTTTTGCAAGAATTTTTCCTCCGATAGCCAGTAGTGAAATTCCTCGGTAGTTTCCGCAGTTTGATGCACTTCCTTTGTTCTTAAATATATTCACTATATTCGCGTTGCAAAAGTCCTGAGGTACCTCTCCGCTTTCCCATATGACATCGAAGAGAGCCTTAAGATGACCAATAAGTTGGTACACTTATAGATCTCCGCCGGAATCGCCTCACAGCCAGATGATTTGTTGTTTTTAAGCTGTTATGGAGTCCTTTATTTCTTGTTCTGTTATTGGAATGTCTAATACATCGAGGCTGTTATACTGATGTATTATGTTGAGTGCTTCCATATTGGGGTTGTTTTCTTGGTTAAGGGTATGGCTGTAATGCTCTTTCCAGCGGTTTCTGATTTGCTCTTCCTGTTTTAGAAGTTCGCCATTTTGTGCCATGATTGGGCATCTTGCCTTCTTAGTTGGACCGTATACTTCTTTTACAGCCTCGAAGAATTTACGATAGTCGTGATGCGTGGCATACTCCTGAATCTGACTAGCTTTTTGCGACCACCAGTTATCCTTTACTTGGCGCAGGTTTCTTCAGAGCGTGTTGTTGGCTGCATTGAGATTGAGATTGAGATTGAAGTTATTGGTGGAAGTGATTCTTTGATGGCTTCCCGGAGGGCGTCGCCGGTATCGTTGTTCTCTAGACCCCGTACGTTCAATCTCGTCATGTAGCTTTGCTTTTTACAGTGTGGATGTTTGGGTTTTAACTGGATTTTCATTTTTGAGATTAAAAGTCGGTACACATTCGGCATCTACTCTGGCTTTTTCGAGACATCTTTTAGGTGCGTCCTTCGAACGATTACGTGGTCCAATTGGTGCCAATGGCCTGATCTCGGATGTTTCCAGGTACCTTTAAATTTGTCCTTCAACATGAACCACGTATTGGTGATACAAAGATTATACTCTGTGCATGTTGTTAATAAGCGTTCACCATTGCTATTTACGTTTGCCATTCCATGTTTTCCCAATACGTCAGGCCATATTTCCTGTTGTTTGCCGACACGGGCATTAAAGTCACCTAGCAAAATGACTCGTTCGTGCTTTGGAATTTGTTGGAGTATATTTTGCAGAGCTTGGTAAAATTTATCCTTCTCCTCAATTTTAGCGTCTAGGGTAGGAGCGTAGGCACTTATGATGTCGACGTAAGTTTTGTCTGATATGGGGTACCTTAGGGTCATAAGACGTTCGGAGACACCAATAGATACCTCTGTTAATTTCGTGGCGATTTCGTTTTTGATTGCAATGCCTACGCCATGAATTCTCCTGTGTGTTGCCGGGTGGCCCTTCCAAAAGAAGGTGTAATGCTCCTCAGTGAGACTACCTTCATCCGCAAAGCGGATTTCGCTAAGAGCGGCAACATCTATATTTAGTCGGTGAAGTTCCTGTGAGACCAGTGCTGTTCTTCTCTCTGGTCGATTGGAGTTTGTCCTGTCCAGTAGAGTGCGGACGTTCCACGCCGCAAACGTGAAACATTGACGATGTTTAGTTCTCCGATGATACGCTCGAGTAGGCACCCCCTCCCGGAGATCCGATCGAGGGGATATTTTACCTCCGGACGATGATTTTGTCCTACTCGAATGTTCCATCTTTGATCAGTGTAAGCTGCGTAAAAAGGTTAAACTGTGACGGTTACGCTGCCGCACAGTTTGGCTGCAACTGTAGCACGGGATGGCTATGGCACAGTGAGGACTGCCACGATAGTTCGCTTGTGCTACGTTCTCGGCCGGCTAGGAGTAGTTTACTACTCCTCTTCCCCAGAAAGGTGGTAGGTCTGAGGGTTGTATAATGATATACCGCCTATACTCGGTCGTTAGAGCCTCGTTTGTTTAAACAGAGTGCACCACGTGAAAGTGAGGTTGACTTTTGGGTAAGCTAGGCTATATGTATCGCTTCAATACCCCTTGCACCCCAAATAAAAAAAAACAAGTTACATATGTTACATATAATGCTATAGTTAAATTATTTATTATAGTTATAATAAACAAGTTACATATAATGCTCGTTTTTAGATTTGTCGATAACGTAACTATAAATATTCGTTGTCAATATATGGGAGGCATCTTTATAATATGCGGATATCTTGCTGGTTTTCTTATTTTATTTGCAACAAAACAAATTACGAAGGTGAGTTTCCATACATTTACTAGAATCTTGCACTGAAAAAACTAATGCTTTAATGGCAAATGATTCCGCGCATTTGCCGTTTTAACTTTTCTGCCAAGACTACTAAATACAATAGCACTGTTTTTGTGCCCAACAAAACCACTGCAATTGAGATAAATTCACCATGCATTTGTCTTGTTGTGCCTTTCAGGCAAATGAATTATTCTCACGTCAAATTGAAGAGTTTCAAATTAAAATCCATGCTTTTTTGGCAAATCGGATTTTAGCAGAAAATTATTGCATTTGGGCCAAATTTTGCGTGAATTCAACTTACTCCTTTCATTGGAATTATATGCTTTTATCTCCAATGTCAAACTTTTCAGCTGAAATCCATGCTTTTGGTAGCAAGTCGGCGCTCTTGACATAAGTAGCCATTGTTGCATATATTTGCATCGTGACGCGATCAACCCAACGTGCGTGTTAGTATTAGCACAGATTAGGTATACTATATGTATACAGATAAAAATCTTATCCCTAATTCGTGGTACAAAAATTGTTTTTTATGACGATGTGCAACCGAGTAAAATTTCCTGTGCGCAAAAATAAACTCGCGTAAAATAACAATAAACAGCGTAATAGGGAGATATCGCTAAACCGAATAGCGTGCATGGACGTTAATAAGGCCAGATGTTATTTCCTTTACGTGAGGTGGTATTAACTCTCTTCATTTATAGTTATCGGATCGGAAAGAATTCTGTTCGCGTCGCGTCCGCTATTTAAACTTAACCTAACTTTGAATTTAAAACTTTGAAATTGTTTTGTTAACTATGTATTTTAAAACTAAAGGGCTAAAGTGCTTATTTCCAGTGCTTCATTGTTCAACGTCTGCCAGTGGGTTTAGGGCAACAAGCAACAAATTCTCTTAGAAGGGCTAAGTCGTCATCTGCTGTAAACCTAAGCCTCTTTATAGGTTCTTTAATATTGGAAGAGGTGGAATCCATATTTTGGGCCATATTTGTTTAATTAAAACTAATCCCAGCTAATTAAATATCAAATTACCTAATAAAACTAAAGTAATAATTCAAAACAATTCAAACATAACCTAAAAAAAAAGATCTCGCCGCTCGCCGGCCGGCCCCGGTTGTCAAATGTACCCGCACATGCCCATTTAAGCAGATATATTCAGATTATTATAAAATTATTATTATAAAATTAGAACCACGAAAAACTATAAAGAAAAAACAAAGTTTATAATCTGTATGACCTGTGATATTAGTATCATCAGTCCCTTTGAACAACCAGCAAGTGGTGCGTGTTTTGTCGACGAATATAAGCAGCGTGGAAGAATTTTTGGCCAAGTGGCGCCTAGAACATTTTTTGCTATCAACATTTCAAGGTACGTAGAAACAATAATATAAAAACAATTAAACAATGGGTGGGAATGAACAAAGATAACGTGGTAAAAGGTTTTGCTTAAATTTCTGGAAATAAACTTATACACAGTTTATAAACAACAAACAAAGAGAGTACAAAGTAGCATTTACTATTTACTTTGTTTTTTTTTTCATATTTCACCCATTGTTGGTTGTACTTTTGACTATTCAATCACGGCATAGAATGTTAAAAAATATGATGTAATATAAAGCCGCGATCTACGATTGGGTTATAGATGATTTTTACATAAATTCACCTTGGTAGCACAGTATAATAATATTATTATAGCACTGTGTTGGTTATAGTTTATTTGTTTAGCGAAATAATAAAAGTATCTTGGAAAATTCGTGATTTCATCAGAAAGAACTACGGACAATAAGTTGGTGATGGACGTCCATCTTTTTTCACCTGAAATCCTTCGAGTCCTCAGGTTAAATGCGTGGGCATTTGTAGCAAATGCTAAATATTTCATTACAATTGAGCCAAACATTTTTTATCAGCTCTTGTTCATATTTTGTATTGTGAATGTCTTGTTGGTAAAATATGCTTTGTTTTCTTGCAGAGCAAAATATCGACGGAATCGATGCAATAAAGGGCCTTTCACAAGAAGAAGTGAGCATTCTAGTAAATGATCTTCTGGGGGACAAAATCAAATTAAGCAAAGCTATTGAAAGTCTGAATGTAATAAATGAACTATACATCAGCCATCATCAACTTGATGAAAACAGTGATGTAGTATGTACCTAGTTTTTATAGTTCATACAAATTTAATAACACTACTTTAGTTAAGTTTGTCTTGATGGACAAGTACACTGAAAAAAAGGATCTCTCAGTCGAAATGAATATGACTTTGACCCAAAATATTGGCGCTTTTCAATAGGGCCAAGAACGACGTTTCTTTGCCCAAAGCATTAACTATCTTTTTATAAGCTTTAAAAAATTACTTTAGAGAATAGAAGAATCTATCTGTCCAAAGTATCTCACTCTTGATCGAAAACGAATATGCAAAGAAGTTCTTGCTACAAGAACAATAGTCTCTTTGATTCATGTAAAAATTCTTGATTGAAAAGGGACATTTCTTGATTAAAGAGACACTTTTCTTAAACCAATAGCAAATACTATTGACTCAACTAAAATTTATTTTGATCTAAGAGAAGTCTATACATCATATACAGGCATATTACGAGGTATATTATTTTCTGATAAATTTAGGTTTTCTTGGTCTGTAGTAAGTAAAGTGATATTATTTTCCTCGATAGTAGTTATTTCTGCTTCTTCACACCTTGGTATTTTTTGGGGTGGTTCATCACTCTACAAATTACAAAGAAATGTTACATCACGATTTCAAAGTAAAGCAAATAAATTATTAAAATTATAAGATTTGGTCACATTTTGAATTTTTTAATACGACGACTTGAAATTCTAAAATTTTTGTAATTATTTGCCTAAAAAAATCGATACCTATATTCTTATTCTATCTATAGTCACACATGCATTATCTAAACAGGTGCATTAGGTAAAATGCTCTAATTTTCATTTTTTCAGAAACTCTTTAAAGAATCCGTATATCCTAAAATTTGTCCATAAAAAATGACAAATGCATGTTAATAACGATCACTAATTTGTTATACAATATGCGTTTAAAAAGCAAATTATGCAAAATTGGAAGTGAAAAATTCCAAGCAACAAAACCCGTGCGTACTATGATGTACGACTGATCGGACTGCCGACTGATTGTATATACCGTCCTTCGTCATCGTCTTTGCGTGTTGTTATTATTTTTCTGCAAATTTTGCTGCATATAATTGATATTGTTGTGTACTTAATTAGGTATAAATAACGCCATATACACTCAAATAACACTTATTTGCAAATATATTTGAAAGAAAAATTGACCGTGTATGATTCGGGTTAAGGTCAATTTTTGTTACAAATTCCCAGTGCTTTAGTTACAAACACCACAATGCCTTTGTTACAAATTCGCAATTATTTTATTTTTAAAGGTTTTTTTTGTAATGATCTTTGAAGATTTTGGTATGAAGTCATGCAAATCGCAATACTTTCAAGATAAGGCTGTAGTCTTTGCAACCAGCGATTCTAAAGCGTTTATCACAAATGCATCTTGAAATTACCCCAATTGAACGAATGATGGCGAAATTGGTTCAAGTGCGTTCGTCCTTGGGCCGATTGATTTGTTTTTTCAGTGTGGGAAGACAAAAAATAATTAAAAGAAAAATAAAATAAAAACATTTCTGCCATTGTCGTTGTGTAAAATATATTTTTTTCAAACGTGACAAAATTATTAATTTTTGCGGCGTGATTGACAATATAAAAAAGACATTTTAACGCCTAGGCCTAAAAGTAAAGCACTTTTGCATAAGCATAAATAATGGAGTGCTCAGAGACTTTTACCTCGAAATTCAATTACTGTGAATGTATTAATTGAAACCTTCTGTATTGTGTTTTATAGATAAAATACTAAAATGTTTCCTCTTTTTTTTGTTGCTTTTAATATTTTATTTTGGAAAATTCTTCATTATTTCTTTTTTAATTTTTTGATTTTTTTAATTCTTTTTTTAAATAAATTTATAGAAATAAATGAATCTAATGCATAGGCTATACCTATTTTGCTCATACTCTAAGCATTGAAATTTTGATTGAAATCGAATTATACAGGGTGGCGCGTCATATGCCAAGCGGTTTTTGCAAGGAGAACAAAAGTTTGTATTGAAGTAAAATTTTGTGAGCTTATGTAAGTCAATTTAAAGCATTTTCTAAAATTATAGTTCTACAGGGTGTCCCAAAAAAAGTTACACAGCAAAGTTATGTTATTTTGTATTGGAACACCCTATATCTTAATTGATTTTTGGGTTCTAGTAAAAAAGTAAAGGCGAGTTTCATTAGAAAAGTATATGACTAAATTGTATAGTTTTTGAAATTCATTCACCGGCACGAAAAATGCGCACCTTAAAACTTTGATGTATTTTAAAGTTTAATATATACTAAGTGACATTGAAAATAGAACACCCACTAAGTATTATTTAATTTTAATAAATGTTTGTAAGCATGTTTATTATTGTATAAATAAGAAATTATTATCATTTGAACGCCGTCAACACACTCGTTTTTGTGCTATACATGTTTTTGTTAAAATTCCAGTCATCCAATATAGACCCGGATTTCGCACACTTTGTTACTTATTCTGCTACAGAGTAGTTTCAGGTGTTTTCTGAGTTTATTATAATGCCTAGAATACGTAGATTGCCAATTTTAGACAACTGAGTGATTTTGATAGGGGTCGGATTGTAGGTTTGCGGGAAGCAGGATTATCATTTCGAGAGATTGCTGATAGGGTATATAGAAGTGTTGCCAATTGTTGTAGAGCTTACTTTCAACAACACCGTGAACATTCTGCCAGGGCGTAAGATTAACCACTGAGGGTCAAGATCGCCGTTTAAGGCAATTAGCTGTCAGAGACGGTTCGGCCACTTCCCGAGCAATTGCTAACTAATGGTTTATGGAACACGGAAGACTCATCACGATGCGAACTGTTTACCGACGAATACGGTCCTTTGGGCTGTTTTCTTTTCGGCCTCATTGGGTTTTACCATTGACTCCTGAACATCGACGACAACGTCTAGAGTGGTGCAGAGCCCGACAAAAATGGGGCGCAGAATGGAATGCTATAGTTTTTAGTGACGAGTCGCGATTCTGTTTGGGAATGCACGACGGTCGGGCGCGAGTGAGAAGATACCGTGGAAAAAGGCGGAATCCACAGTTTTTCATGGAAAGGCACGTAAACCAAGTTGTAGGAGTTATGGTTTGGGGAGGAATCGCATATGGTAGCAGGTCGCCTCTAGTATTTCTTCGAGGTAATATGACAGCCCAACGCTATATTGAGGAAATTGTGGAAGCTCATCTTTTACCATACTTACGAACGCTCCACGATCCTATATTTCAACAAGATAATGCCCGTCCCCATGTTGCTAGATTAACTGAGAACCACTTACATAATGCCCAAGTTAATCTCCTACCCTGGCCACCAAGATCTCCAGATCTCTCACCAATTGAACATGTGTGGTATATCATGGGTAGGAGACTGACAAACTTAAAGAATCCGCCTCAGACACTAGAAGCTCTTCGGCATGAGATACAGTTAGCATGGGATGAAATACCGCAAGAAGACATAAATCATCTGATTAGTTCCATACCCAGACGGCTCAACGAATGAATCGAGGAGAACATCGAGGTGGTCCAACACATTATTAACAAGGACAAGATCACGAGCCATTATTTTCACTCCAAATTTTGATCATTTACTTCTTTTGTCCACCTACATTTATTCATGTATAAAAGATTATTAAAATTAAACAATTTTTACTGGGTGTTCTATTTTCAATGTCACTTAGTATATTTTGTTCTAATAGGCCGATTTTGATGATTTTTTAAGCAGTGTGTAGCCAAATTATTTGACTTTTTAGTATCTCTTTCTAAATTAAAAATGAAACTCGCTCTCTGTTAATTATACGAGGGAAAACAAAATGTTGATATTTTGGTGAAAGTTTGAAACACCCTATGGAATATGTTAAAACAGCAAGATATTTAAAAATCATTTTATCATCTAGATACATCCTTTGTCGATGGTTTGTTTGTTGGTTCATCTCATTAGATCTATTTTTGTTGGAAATGTTCGCTTTTGAAGAAAACACTAACATTTTTTCGTAATTTTTACATTAAGACCATGCCTTTGCTTCTTTTTGGTCCTAGTCAACACATCTAGACATCTAGTAAGTTCTGGTCTCGAAGCAGGCCTTCTTGACATAAGATTTGCTTCATTTAATCTTCTTCTTATAATCCGTTAGTTAATATATACGTTCCTTAGGTGCAATTCATTATCAATTTGAAAAACTGGCAAACGGCGGCGTTTTCTTAGCGATAAACTTACAATAAGTCGATCGTCTCGATTAGAAGTTCTCATACGAAGGTTCCTGGACGTCTAGATTGATGTTCTCATAGACATGATCATAATTCAAAAACCACTTAGTATACTCTATGGTATTAAGGTATTTTTGAAACCGGAATTTTATAGCAAATTCACTGAACTAAACAAATATAAAATTCATATATAAAACTTGAGTGTAAAAATATAGATTACAGCTGAGGGTTGGAACCTTTGGTGTTACACAGCAAAATAATAACACTAAATCACACATTCAGACACCATAGATAATTTTATTTCTAAGTTAAATAATCGTTTTCCTTCCATTAAATTTACGCATGAAATTGAGAACAACGACAGATTGACAGACATTTCTAGATGTATTAGTTATTAGAAATAATAATAATTGCCTGGAATTTGATATCTATAAGAAAAATACCACTACACGCAGATATATTCCTAATGAATCATATCATAGTGTTGAACATAAAATGGCTAGTTTAAATTTCTTAGTTCATAGATTACTTAGTCTTCCACTTTCCAGTGAAAGATATGAAATAGAAAGAGATTACATTAGGAATGTAGCTGAGTGTAATGGATATTCTCCTTCACTAGTTGATAAAATAATTAGAAAACGTAGGTATAGGTTAATGATTTCTGAAAATTCCACTTTTCAAGTGGAGAAAGATACGTCAAAATATTTTTCAATACCGTTTGATAGAGAGTTAACACCTCCACTGGAAAGGTCGGGTATTTATGAAATTTCTTGTAAAGATTGTAATCAGAAATATGTTGGGCAAACTAGAAGATCAATATTAACTAGATTTAAAGAACATTTAGCTCAGATAAGATATGGTAGACCGGATAAATCTTGCGTTGCCGAACATATTGTTGATAAAGAACATTGTATAGATCTTAATAATTTAAAATTAATCAAACAATTCTCAAATTACAGTCAATTAGATGCATATGAAAGCACCAGAATTAATAAATGTAAAGATAGTATGAACAGAGACAACGGTCCAATTCTTTCAAGTTCTTTATTCCTACTACTCTAGTGGCGGAAATTTAACTGTTACGCTCGGTGGGCTCTGACTCGGTTGGATAGATCTTGCCACGCCCACTCGGTGCCCACTGAGCGAGTATATAAACGCTCAACTTGTAGATTGTATTTTAGTTTATAATCATCTGCTGATGATGCTAACATAGTTAGCGAAACGCGCGTCCAGTGTAAAAGTAAAACTGTTTTGGTGTATTGTGGTGATTTAGTGTTTTTATTTTGCTGTAAAAATATATTTGACTCACTCTGTATATCTATAAAAATATTTTTGAAATACTTATATTACTAACTTAACATATTTTTGTTTGTACCAAACCAAACTTAGTAATATATCTTATTAACAATACAATGTAATAAGTTTTATAAAAATTCGTTTACAGTAAATGAATTCCGAGGTTTGTATCCCATAAGGGCTTAAAGCACTCCACTAAAAAGTACGAAAATATATATTATTAAACTGACATAAAGTGTCAAATTCAACGAGCGTAACTATAGTTTCTCCATACATACAAGGTATGACTCGTAAGCTTTTTTATATTATTTGGAACGTTTGAAATTTAAAAAAAAAATATTTGTGGCGTTTGAAAAAAAATCTTTTTAGATTACAGGTTATCTGACACTGTGCCTTTTATATGTCTATCACTTTCGCACATTTGAGGTGTACGATAGTGGGGATGCTCTGGAGAGTAAGGTTTAATCAACGAAACTCTGCTGTTTTTCCGTTTTTAATGTTTTTTTTTCTAGTTCAATGAAATATATAGGACCATTTTGTTTATGCCATGGTATACATGGAACCAAAAGAACAAGAGTACTTACCTCTTGGTCTTGATGGACGTTCAAGAACCTCATAAAATAGCGATGTCTTTTAGCTATGCTTTGAATAGAGAAAATCTGCTGGAGGTAATCATTTTTCATTTTTTTAACACAAGAAATATCACACGCTATTCAAAACCCATACAGCACACTTCGTCCCAGGGGTGTACATTTTATGTCCATTTTACGTCGGTACGTCCCGGGACTAATTAGGGACGTACTATGTACCGGGTGTCCCACTAAGAATAGCTCGCGGCTGTATCTCGGAAAGTATTAGTCGTAGAGCTTGAGGAAAAAAATATTTATAACTACTGAGACCATGAGAAATTGCTGGAAATTATTTTCAAGTTTATAGGACGGCCGTTAGAGGGCGTAACTACTATGGAAAATAACAAAATGGAATTTTTGCCTAGATACGATGTACTATAAATAATAGCTTCATAATCTTCAGTAAATTTTGGATCTTTTTTGTTAGAACCATTTTCCCATACCTGCTAAAATAAAGTGGTGGGGGGAGGTTAGATCTGTTTTTATTTAAATATTAATAACTCCGGACTGGATGATCAGAATTCAACAAGCGAGGGCTCGTTTAAAAGAGCGTTTCTTACTTCATATTGTACTATATAAACAATAATAATAAACATTTGAACGTAGACGCTAGGGGGCGTTGTCTTATAATTTAACAAACATTGCGCGTTTTTTCAAAAAAACTAAATACGATAGTATATGTAATTTTAGCTGATGGTAAAGAGTAATAAAAGCTTAACAAGACAGCAAAAACCGCATCTTGATATCTTTTTTCAAACCAAAGTTATTGGCAAAATTATAATAAATACGAAAATATAAGCCCTTAATTAGGTACTATTTTTATCACCTTTTTAGGTACTCCAAGGGCTGTATGCTTTTACAAATTTTTTATATCAGACTCATTAATTGGTAATCATTGTTATATTACTGGTAGTATGAACTGTTCTTAACACGTAAGTAATTTTAGACATTATTTATCATATACAGGGAGAGTCTTAAATAAGTGCAAATATTTTCAGGGCTGGTAGATCTCGATAGAAGAAACACATTTTCTCTTTACCGTTCTTCAAATAAATCCAAAATAACCGAAATATTTTACTTTGGAAATTTGAAAAAAATATATTTTTTGCTTAAATATTGAGAACCGTTGAATCTTTTCTGTATTTTCTTTCTTATAAATTTAATCTACTACCTACCTATAATTGTCATATTATGAAGAAATTATATTTTGTAACTAAAAATGAAGAAAATTTCCATAAAAATTTTCATTTTTTTTTCGCAAAAAAACCTCCTAGATGTGTTTCGGGGATCGAACTATACTGTCCCTAAAAATATTTGCACTTATTTAAGACTTATCCTGTATGCATATTAGCTTACTAATAAGTATAATAAAAGTTTTATTTTAGGTATATCATAGCAAATATATTGTCACTAAGATAGTAATAGAAATATATATTAATTATGGTTTATCTCGTAGTTTATAGTTACTCATGTATGTACTAATTTAGAATATATGTATAATATAAAGATCGATTCAAGAAGTTTAATCATTGTTTAATTATTGGTACAGAATGTTCCACTAAAAATGGCTATCGGCTATTATCTCAGAAAGTAGGGCCTGTGGAGAAAAATATACCATGGAGGCTATGAGAAATTGCTGAAATTTATTTTCAAGTTACCAGAATGGCCCTAAAGGGCGCAACTGCTATAGCGAATTAGAAAATAAGATTTTTACAACATTTTGCCTAAACTAATTGGGGTACTAAAAATTGGGGTACTAAAAATAATAGCGTCATAATTTTCAGCAAATATTGGATTTTTTTAGTCATTTCTGCTAAAATAAAGTAGTGGGAGAAGTCTCGTTTAAAAGAGCGTTTCTTACTCTTTACGACCTTATAAACAATAGTAATATATATTTGACAGTACACGCTAGGGGGCGCTGTCTTAAAATTTAACATTAACAAACATTGTCCTTCTCTCTCTCTCTCTCACACACACACACACACACACAGGAAAAAAACTTTTTTATTACTGACATTTTGGGAAAAATCGAGGGAAAATGCGTTCTTCATTCAAAATTTGCTTGTTCTAAGTTCTGAAATGCTTAATTCCGTTTATACTTTTCCAAATTTTCATACCGTTTTAGAGAAAATTAAAAAAACGTGAAAATATAATTGAATTTCTTCTAAGTTCTAAAAATCAAAACGCGTTTCTATGGTAATATAACTTCGTTTTTATTCTTTGATAGATTGTTATTGATAGAATTTAATTTAACGTCATATTTTTTGTTGTTTTAAAATGTTAAAGAAGCACAAAATGTATTTAGTTCAATGCTACGGTAAAAGTGATAATAGTTATCGGGAAATGTGATACTTCAACAAATAGCAATAATATGACTTTAATCAAAATTAATAATTACCGTCTGTCAAAGAATGAAATCGAAATTATATTACCATGTAGAATGTAGAATGTAGAATGTTTAGGAGATGAGTTAATGACCGCGACCTTATATATCTATTGTGTGTTCCCCTTTCTTGAGTTATAACGAGTTATAACTCATCATACAGTCTCAGGGCTTTAACAAAAACCAGTATCTGAGACTGCTACACAGAGGCCAGCTCTCCATCCTCGACATCAGACGTACCATGGTTCATGGCATCGTCGTCATCGGTCGTCGTCTCGGGGCACTCGGTGATAAGGTGTATGTGGTGTTCGCCGTTGTTTCTCAGTTTCAGTGTACTGAGGTGTTCGTTGAGGAGTCAGTGTCCTGATAGAAACCCCGTGAAAATCCGGAGATTGTTTTTACTTAAATCCAGGAAAACCTTTGATTTTTCTCGGTCGTAAGTTCTGAGGAACTTTTTCGAGTGTCTTAGACCGTTGGAGGACACCCATTCCAAGTTACGGATGGAGTCTTCCAGATTCTTCAGTTCCGCTTTCAGTTGGTTCCCGTTTGGAAAACAGAACGGTTCTGGTTCAGTTAGTGGAGTGTTCGCTCCTTTTCTAGCTAGATCATTTGCTTTTTCATTGCCTTCTATCCCTTGGTGAGCAGGTACCCAGAGTAGGAGGACTTTATTTTCTTTTCCTAATTTGTTCGCAGTAAGCAACTGCTCCATAAGTCTTACTAATGATATAAGACCCATGATGTCTTACTATCATGGTATATATCCAGCGCAAAATGTTAGGGGCGCAGCCCCACCTATTTCCCGCCAGTCTTCTGCATATCATGAGAGCCTTTGTGGCTTTGCTGGTAATGTTCTTAATATGCCTGTTCCAGAGAAGTTTACTATCCAGGGTTATTCCCAGATATTTCACTTCCTGTGATGGCAGTATTTCCTTTCCATCTAGATGGATTCTTTTCAAGTTTTTCAAACTTCGCTTTCTGGTGAATGGCACTACTGCCTTTTATCTGAGTTAATGCTCAGCCCGACAGTCCTGCGCCATCTCTCAGCGATGCGGAGTCCTCTTTGGATAATATCACACAGGGTGCCTTCATGCTTTAATAGTGGAATGATGACTATGTGATGTGCATACCCTATGCAGTGTATTCCCGCTAGAGTTAATTCTTCCAGTAGTTCATTCACTACCAAGCTCCACAGTAGGGGGGAGGTCATTCCACCTTGTGGAGTTCCTTGCGTTGTTTTAACAACTACAGTTTTGGTACCTATTTCAGCCTCTGCTGTTCGTGTTGAGAGCATTTCCCAAAACCAGTGAATTATCGTACTGTTCACCCCTCTTGTTTCAAGAGATCGCTTGACCACCTTGTGAGGTATATTGTCAAACGCCCCTGCAATGTCCAAGAAGGCACAAAGTGCTGTTTCTTTGCTATCCAGACTTGCCTGTATTAGCTCAGTTAACTGGTACAGAGCAGTTTCTGTGGATCTGCCCGCTCTATATGCATGCTGACTATCGTGCAGTGGTTTAACCTGTAGATGATTTACTCTAATATGGTTGTCCTAATAGGCCTAAATGATTTGGGGTTAGCCCAGTCAGTTTTGCCTATTTTGGGTATGAAGATGACTTTCGCTCTTCTCCAGATGGTTGGTATATTATATCCCATCGCTAAGCTGCTTCTTGTAATGTTTAATAGATGGAGTGTAGCTATTTCCTGACCCTTCTTTAGAAGGGCAGGAAAAATCCCATCTATTCCTGCTGTTTTATAAGGCTGAAAGTTGTCAATAGCCCGTTTCAGTTTTTGTTCTGTTATTACTGGCTTGGCCGTCTCCCAGTCTTCCCTGCGAGGATTGTGGGGTTCGGTCGGAGCTACTTGCGTATAAATAGATATGCTACCTGGAAAGTGTTTATGAAGTAGGAGGTTAGCTCTCTCTTCATCTCCTTCCGTGTAGCTTCCGTCAGGTTTCTTAAGTGCTATGTTGGGGATGGGCCCACTCTTGGCCATAGCTTTGTGTACTCTAGCTGCATAAGTAGTTGAAGTGGTGTTTGCGCAAAAGGATCTAAAGTCAGACCGCTTTGCAATTCTAATCTCCTTATTATACTCAGTTAATTTCTCGGTGTAGAGCTGCCATTCGCCGCTGGGTTTGGCTCTGTTGAAGAGTCGTCGGACCTCCGATCTAAGATTGGCCAGCTTTTTGTTTCACAAGGGCTTGTTGTTACTTTTTTGTATGCCCTTACTTGTGGGGCAACTAGATTCATATGCATCCAATATTGCACCACTGACTTCCTTTGCGTACCATTCTTGATACAGGTGGTTCCTAGCCCTACCTGCATCTATTTGGTCCGGGTTGTCTACGAGATTGGTGTGGTACAGTTCCCAATCGGTTTTTCTTGGATTCCTTCGAATTTCAGTTTGGACTATGATTCCTCCTAATTTGAACTCGATGATTGTGTGATCTGATAGGGAAGGTTCCGTTGAGACTCTCCAATCTTTCAAGTAACTAGTTACACTAGCACTCCCGATTGTTAAATCTAATACTTCCGCCCGCGTTTTTGTCACAAACGTGGGGGTGTTCCCTATATTGAGAACTTCAAGATGCTAAGAGGAATTCTAGTAAAAACTCACCTCTAGTGTTAGTCTTAGTGCTTCCCCATACCTCATTGAGCGTATTGGTGTCACATCCCAATAGCAGAGTTAGTCGCCGTTGGCTGCAGAATCGCGCGAGCTCCTCTACTTCCGGAGGCGGTGTCTGCCCATCACCCGGAAAGTATGCAGAGGCAATCACGATATTTTTGCTACAATCCTCGATATTAAGTTGAACCATGATTGGAACAAGATCTCGGGTTGTAAATTCTGAAACACATGTGTAGTTAATGTTGTTTCTTATAAGAATACAGGCTCGGGGAAATTCCTGCTTGTTATCATATATTACACTGGATTTTTTTCTAGACAACCCTTTAATTTGTCCCTGATACACCCAGGGTTCCTGGGCTAGTACCATTACATGTTGGTTTTTCTCAAAGAGTTTTGTGATTGTGGCGGAAGACCCTTTTGCGTGGTGCAGGTTTATTTGGGATATCCCATGCATCAGGTTTCTGGGGTATGTAAGGATCCCCCTGTTGTAGGGAGGACAGGGTATTTCCCATCCCCCCCTTACAACAGATGTTCCTCCTTCGAGGAGTGGTCATCAACCTCCTCCGAGGATATACACCCTTTCACGGTTGGAGTTTCGCCATATCCGTGTCCTTCACAGTCGAGGAGCTTGTCTCCGGCTGAGGTACCTGTGAGGTGGAGGCTGGAGTATTTGTCCCCCTCTTTAGCTTGTCCTTTTCTTGGACCTGATACCGGTATCGTCCCGAATCTATAATAGAGGTTATCTATTGGCTCCTTGGATTTGAGGTCAATTCCTTTTCATATTTCCATAGAACCACCTTTTGATTTTTCGGATTTTAAGAAAATATCATCCGTATTTTCATGTTTTTTTAATTTTCTCTAAAACGGTATAGAAATTTGGAAAAGTACTTATAAACGGAATTAACCATTTTTTTTTGCAGAACAAGCAAACATTTTTATTTTTTCAAAATGTCAATAATAAAAAAGGTTTTTTCCTCATGTAAAGAAAATCCGGGAACATACTGTATATTGCTGAAAAATAGGACCAACTAAACGACTCTCGCTGAAGAAATGCAAGATATTGGATTGCGTTGAAGAGGAAGGAAGGATAAATATTTCTGATATAAAAAATTAGAAATAAAATAAGGAGTTTCCTGGTAAAATCATACACAGAACAAATAAGAAAAAAACAGACCATGTACGAAATAAACAAAATCCTAAATGAACTTAAGGAGAAAAAAGCTGTTTCTGGTTTGATTAAAGAGTATAAGCCAGAATAAAAATCCTAGGAATAAAAAGTATGAGCCAAATCGAAGAGGGACAACTAAACAATGAGGCATTGTAAAGCAAGGAAACAAATGACGGGAGAAACAATAAAAGACCTTTATATAACATAATGACAGACTACAATACACATATATAATATATCCATTAGTTTCCTTTTGCCGAGGAAATATGTATCAGTAAAAATACACAAAGTAAATTTTCAGTACAATAATGATTATGTTAGCTGGCTAATGCATTCGTTTAAAATATATTTTCGTAGCGTTTGTCATAAATGGTAAAATATATTTATTTCATACAGTTCAGAAAAATGATTGCAAAATTTGAGGAATATTTTTGTGAAAATAGCAGCATTCATGGTTTAAAATTTGTAGGAGATAAACGTATTCTTAGAGTAGAAAGGTAAATATTGATATACGATATATCTATTACTAAATCTATCAATCACAATAATAATATTTATTTACAACCACATATATGTAATACTGACATTACTGACTTTTAAAAAATTTGAAAGTGTCAAATTATCTACATTTCTTCCCTCTTCCATTTCCCTCACCAATTTCCCTCATCCATTTCCCTCACCCATTTTCCTCATTCGGTTTTTCTTATTTCTCGCCTCATTTAATTAAGCAAAATATTCTTGTAATATCTTTATTAAATACTTATCTAACATCAACAAAAATAAACAAGAAGATAAACAATATAAATTGAAGATTTTAATACATTTATTTGTTGAAATTAATGGTCAAATTTGACTTATTGTACGCGTTAATTGATATTGTTAAGGGGCCGCCCTGATGATGTGTTTCACTCATTGAGGTTTCACTGCTGCAAAAACTTAACTCCTGACTTGTGCCAGGTCTTATAATGTCAACGAAAGAAGGTAAAGAGTTTGAATTGCTACAGGAAGACGATGGCAATGATGTCGTTGAGGATATCATATTTGTGGTTTTAGTTTGGTTGGCTAAAGATGCATTCACATAACCCTCAGTAGACGCTTCAGCTGTAAAATATCAGCTCCGCTATTTACCAGCAACGTAGCCGCTGTTCGTTTAAAAGCATGACCTGTGTAGGTTTTCGCATTGGGAAGTTTCAAAAAGCTAGCAATTTTGTACAGATAGAATAGAATTGATGATACGTACGGATACTATAGAATTGTATCCAAAGGGTTGATTTCGAGCTTTTCCTAACCCAAGCAGCATTTTGACGTCGGGACAACGTTGTGTCACGCGACCAAACGTCGGGGCGCAACGTCGCGTCGGCACAACCTCGTGCCAACCCTAGTCTGCATTAGTTTGGAGAATAATTTTTGGGTCGAAACGACGTTGGATACCTACGTTGGCTAGCAGCCTAATTGAGTACAAACTGCAACGTTGTTTAAAATCCTAATTCACAGAAATACAAAACTATAACAATATGGCGTCTAAGTCGCGTTTTATCCTAAATTGGGATAATTATAGTAAAAATATTATTTTTATGATTTAGTTAGAGACATATGCCAGATGGCAGTAAAGGAAAACAAAACAAAAGTATTTAAGTATGGAGGATGTTTGAAGATCATAATTATTGAAACACTTTAACCAACTCTGTAACTCGGTACCCAAGGCAAAAAAGTTAAACGCAAACAACTTTATTGATAAATGTATTGTTTCTACTTTGAAAAATACTAATGGGCCTTAAAATCAAAGAAGTTTTAAAAAATTTCTTGAATTTTTTTTAGTAAAATGAGAATAATTTATTCGCAGTCGAAAAAAATTGTTTCCGCGTGTTGTTTCGGGTCAAATATTTCAAGTTAATGTATGCAAAAAGCAGGAATTGCTATTTTAGGAACGAAACATTTTCTTATTCAACAACATGGCGGCTTTCACTTTGTTGCTTGCAGATTAAGATGGAGTAGTTCTAGTAGTCGCCTACTGGACTAATAAAGTCGCAGTTCAGCCTTAACAGGTAGTATACTAGTCGCAAGATTGCCTAATTTAGTCATCATAGAATCTAGCTTGTACCGCCCTCTATATTCTAAATAAACGAGGGAGTGAAAGTATCGGTAATATGTCGATGTATATTTAAATTTAGTTTTATATGTACCTTTCTTACGTCCCATTTTAATTATTTTTTTTTATAAAACCAAAAACAGCACTGAACTGTCTGACTGAACAGAACAATGAAGTGAAAATTTAAGATATAAGGTTATGGTTAAATACAGTTGCAAAAAGGTAGTGCCTCGACGTCCTACCAACGTAAGAATAAGGAAATCTAAACAACGTCAGAATTAGTAAAACAGACGACGTTTGCATAACGTTGGAATAGGTCGTAAAAGTGACGTCGGCAAACTCTTTATTGCCCAACATTGTAACAACGTTGTCCGAATCACCTAAACATCACTTAAGCAAAAAAGGTTACAAGACAACGTTTATTCGACGTCGCAGAAGCTTTTACTTTGTTGTAGTACTAGTTCAACGTCGGCACAACGTTACAACAACGTTTACATTTATTTTAATACGCAAGGTACGGAGCTAAATATTTTTTGTAACTAATCCAACGTTGTGTTTAGTAAACATGTGGTCGCAAGTCGTAAAAATGCTACTTGGGAATCGATATTGAACAAAAAAGCATTATTAAGCGCAACCTAAAACAATGAAAAGAAATATTTAAAAACAGGAAAAGAAAACATTTAAAAAAGGCCTTACTTTAATAGGAAGGAATTCTTGAGGTGCTTTCGTGAGAAAATCCTCCAAGTTTTGCCTGGTAAAAATGCTAGACTCCTTTGGCTTAAAACCTACATTCTGCCGTTTTAAAAAAGCGACGAGTTTGTGATATTTTGATATGTCAGTCTTTTCCCTTAATTCTAGCATTCTCCGTATCATGCTGTATGTATCCCAAAGAGTAGATGGATTTTTCTGCCTTGCCATGTCGCTAAAATATGCCATCAAGACTGTCTCCGAAGCAATATTCTTAGCATTTCCTTTGGCACACCATTTTTCGTATACTTTCAATGCTATTTCATATCGCCTCGTACTTTTCTCTGGAAGAAAACTGGCTTCTGCTCTTTTTGCAACTTCTGTAAGTTCTGGTGGAGTACCAATATTAAAGTAGTCTTCATTATCAGAACTTTCTAACAACATTCTGCCGTTCTGTGTTATATAAATCTGAAAAAGCGAACGAGAAATTCAAAACTGTTACTTAGTTGTTTATTTTGCTGTTGAAGGTTTGCGCCATAACAACCACTGGTACCGGTAACTATAGATATGGAAATGCCAAAACAGAAAAGGACAAATTTTTGCATATTTATTTTTTTTCAAAATAAAATACTGTCCCTATTTTCTAATTAATGATGTGGTTGTAAATAAAATAGTAGACAAACCTCGGAGGAAAGTTTTCATTATTGTCTCGAGTTTTAGTTAATCTCTCCGACAGTAATGAAACACTACCCTCCTCGGTATGTAATATACTATTAATTGAATATCGTTTTGTTCAAATATCTATATAAATGTTAAAACCAGAATTAGGTATAAAATACCTCTTTATCTTAGGTTATTTTGGATAATTGCGGTGGCTAGTGCATTCGCTTCCGGCTATTATTTGATTCAATCCAATTGGGATCATTACAGAGCTAATCCTACTGTAGTAACTATAAGGAAAGATTACAGAAATTGGGAGAATCCATTTCCGGCAGCAACAGCCTGTTTTGTGGATCGTGTAGACAAAGAAAAAGCAAGAATATACATAGAAAAGTAAGTAAAGTGGTATCCTTAATAAAATGTTATTCAGTATTTCTAATAGCACAACTAATAACTTTTTAATTATGCAGACAAAACGGTCTGTCCATATTTTGACAGAGCATTCAATGTATCATGTTACTACTAGAGGTGGGCAAAGATTGAACGAGTCGTTCGTTTGAACGAGTATTAACACTGAATCGTGAGATTCGATTCATTGCTTGCAATCCGGTTTTTTCAAATGAATCGTGGCCAGTACGGATCCATAAGATTTGAACGATGAGCCGTAAAAAAGAATCGTGAGAATTGAATCGGATTACAATGCGATCGTGCGTTCAAAGAGTCATGAGAATTGATTCATTGCTTATAATACGGTTTGTTCAATTGAATCGTGGCCAGCACGGATCCATAAAATTTGAACAATGAGCCGTAAAAAAGAATCGTGAGTATTGAATCGGATCACAATGCGATCGTTCGTTTCTACGGCGTATGCTGCATAAAAAACAATCATCATGGGCATAAAATGCAAACGATAAGAAAGTTATTTACAAGAAAAAAACTTATTTATAGTGTGCTTAGTACGGGAGGTATTTAATTTTCACGTTAATATTTTTGTTAAAATAATATTACCGACTATTAAATGTCGGGACTAAAAAACGAAATTGTGTTTTTATGCAGCTCCAAATAAATATTGTTGGCCTCTGCTCAATGTGATAAAAAAACGGCGTCAGCGATGGATGAATGGATTATAAAATAAAGATCGCTGTCATTTTATATGTAAAATTATACCATTTTTAGCCGACTATATCAACAGGTATGGTAGGCTATTTATTAAGATCGGCAAAAAAGTGTTTTTAATTTCACTCAAAATGAGTTATTTGTGTCATAAATGTCCTGTCCTTCTGTAACACGACTAACTCAAAAACCGCTAAACCGATTTTAATCAAATTTCGCACAAATATAATGTGGCACCCGAGAATCTGGCCATTAGTTTTTGGTGGGCGTGGGGGGTTGGTAATGTTGTATAATCAATATCCTTGGTGACTAAATTTAACAGTAACACACACAGCGGCAATACGTGTTCGATAAGGAAGTGCTAAATTGATTTTTTATATTTTTATTTAGACTAAGATCGAGTGCCGCTGTGCCGCGCTGTTTTTCAATAGCAGTAGTAGTTGTTAATCTTTTTAAGCATTAAGATAGGTTTCGTTTGTTCATGTCGTTTACATACTTTACCGAAAATATAATTTAACTATACCATCTCTTGTGGTATTATTTCACCCTGCATTTCTTGTACAAATCTAACAGGTAAGGGGGTATGGGAGGGGGTTAAAAATTTAAAAAAATCGTAACTCCAAAATTACAATAGCTAGCGAAACGCGGTTTTCAATTTAAGATTAGGAATAATGTTTGCAACAAAATTTGTAATAACATCAAAATCAGTTAAAGTCGCAGTTTTTGAGATATTCCGTGTTTCCGTAGTCCGTTTTTGAGAAAATCCGTGTGGAGCACTCTAAACTCCCATCGGACGCGACCCCAGGTGGCGGATAGGGAAAATAACCGCGGACCAAAATTGGAAAAAATCATTTACTTTGAAACTAAAAGAACTGCCTATCAACTTTTGATTAACATATTTGTATGTATGGGCGTAGTATGGGCGGCTATACGTGCCTCCCGGCGTCAATTTTTTTTCGATCATGCGGTATTATATACTATTTATTATGATTATTATATCGGAATTAAAATATGGCTCTAAAAATATTAAATTGATATTAAGAAGTCATTAATAAATAGTATATACAGGGTCCGGCAATAGTGCGTCTGGCATCTGTAGCTCCTAGAATAAAAAAATTGAGAATTTTGTATAACTGCAGACCTAAAGTATGTACCAAGATGTATTTCATTAAAATATTTTAACTTCTATAGGGTGGCTCAAAAAAGTGTGACTGGATCTGGATGATATTTTTTAAATAGAACACCCTGTATATTATTGTATTTTTGGCTTCCTTTCAGATCACTTTACATAATACTAAGATATGAGTAAATATATTTCGATAGTTTCAGAGATATTAAAAAATAAATCAAAAATATATATTTTTCAGCCCTTTTTAAAAAAATTATTAACAATACAAGAACTATTCTGAAATCTAAACTATATTAGCTATTTATTTTAGACGGTCTGTTCTTACTTTGCTATAAATATGATAATCGTAAATCATACAGGATGTTCAATATTCTACGCCAAACTTTTTAAAATATAAAATATTTTTTCTTTGTTTTTTTAAATGGAACACCCTGTATATTATTTTTTTATTAGATGGAGAGCTAAAAAATGAACATTTTTTGTATTTAAAGTATTTCAAAATTTTTAATAGTTTTGCAGATACACGCCGTATTATTTCATATGGCGCTTGCAATGGTAAAATACGGGAGAAAAATCATTGGGTGACTTTGATAAAAATTTACTGTGGAAAATGCCATATGAAATATAAAACCTCGAATATCTTCGAAACCGTTAAAAATTTTGAAATACTCTAAATACAAAAAATGTTCATATTTTAATTCTCCATCTATTGAAAAAATAATATACAGGATGTTCCAAGTTTGGCGTAGAATTTCGAACAGCCTGTGTGATTTACAATTACCATATTTATAGCAAAATACGTACAGACCATCTAAAGTAAATACCTAATGTATAGTTTTGATTTCAGGACTGCAGTTCTTGTATTATTAATAATTTTTTTAAAAAAGTCTGAAAAATATAAAATTTTTATTTATTTATTAATATCTCTAAAACTATCGAAATGTGTTTACTCATATTTTAGGATTATGTAAAGTGATCTAAAAGGAAGCTAAAAATCCAATAATATACAGGGTGTTCCATTTAAAAAAAATCATTCCGATCCACTGACACTTTTTTGAGCCACCCTATAGAAGTTAAAATATTTTCCTGAAATACATCCTCGTACATACTTTGGGTTTACACCGAAACAAAATTCTCAAGTTTTTTATTCTAGGAGCTACAAATGCTCGACGCACTATTGCCGGACCCTGTATGTATAAATTGGATTGATAATTTAATATTATTAGTAAAATAATCAATACAATTACTCCAGTGTCATAAAGTGATGAAAAATAAATAAAAGAACTGTATATTTCTCTTTCTGGTCCCTTAAGTAATTGTCCTACAAAATTATCGCCGGTAATGCCAGTTACGATTCTTGTTTTAATGAAACGAAAATTGTGCATGTGGTCCGTCCAAATGAACGAATCGTAGAAGTCGATTCGATATGAGAAATTGAATCGTGTGATTCGATTCACTAAAAGTAATCGTAATGCCCATCACTAGTTGCTACTGTGTATTGTGTATACTACCACAAAATTTTTATCACAACGAATGCATTTACAAAATAATTTAATTTTTAATTTGACATTGTTATATTTTTAATTATTTTCTATATATTATGAGGTAATTCAATAATAACGGAAATAAACAGGTATAGTATAGATTAAAAGTAAAGTTTACCGACCTCCTTAATATTATTAGTTTATGATAAAATAGGAAGTAGTTTATATGTGTAACAACCTTTAAAGTAAATATGTAACAGTAAGATTAAAATGCCAAAATATCCAGAGAAATATGTACAGGTTGTCTCAAATTTGAGACTCATCATTTAGATCTCGAAAACTAGAAGAGATACGAGGTCGGTTAAATAATTTTTAAATAGGTGCTGATTTGTGTAATATGATGCTGATCAAAACATTACCTTAAAAGTTTAGAAATTCCGAATACTTCCAAAGATTAAAAAAACGAATACTTTCAATTTTATTTTTATTTTTCTATGGATGTATTCCAACAGATATAACAAAATAAATTTATCATATTCTTCTTGCTCCTTTTAAATTATTGGTAATATAATATTCGTGTAAATATTGTTCCCCAGGGTGGTGCTATCACATTTTCAAACCGACGCGACGCGACGTTTCGTCTTTGAGCCATCATCAACTTTGTTTTTTAAATACGGTCCTGGATTTTTTATTAGGGATTTTATGAGAATTTTAAGTTCCTAAAACTTGTCCTAGAGGCCAATACTCACTCGTATGCCATCACGAGGCAGCTTTATGCATTTATAGACATTACAATATATTAGTTACCGATATGTATTTTAAATGTGGATGGACTGCCAGAAAATAAAAAGGGGCGAAAAGAAATATGTGAAATCTCTATCATTTTTTCAAAAAAAAGAAGAAAATAAAACATTTTTTTGATGATCCATCCGTGAACCATGATCTATAAATAAAAATACATGTAATAATCATTAAACAATATTAATCGTTTTGTTCACTTCATTATTATTCTACCTAATCTTACTTTAAGCTCTGAACCCATTTTATTATTATTATACAGTGCAATCGCGATAATATGAACACAAAAAATTTTAGGTTGTTCATACTAACGGTATGTTCATATTATTGAAGGTAGTAAAAATACATAATAAAATACGGATTAATATTTTTAAAATCGATTAATCATACATCAAAATCAAGTGCTTAATATCTATTAACATTACATGAAACTAATTATTAGTTCTAAAATATGAAGTTATTTTTGACTGAGTTTGTTTGGCCGAAATGTTAGCTAAAACTGCTTTTTCAAGAATGTTTTTTAGAGTTGTAATATCCGATAAATTTATTACGTTTTGTTTAGCCCATTCTAATGATACTGTAAGGGCCTAGACTGCTTCGCTATGTTTAATTGTAATTATTGGCTGTTCCTCGATTTCAATGTCACTCTCATCATTTGAATCCATATTTTCAGCTTCTTCCAGGCTCGCTTCTTCTATCACTGAATCCTTGTTCCATTCTTCAATGTCTACAGCCCGTGTATTCCGCCTATTAAAACGTTTAAAAATTACTACATAATATGTATTAATTTATACTATAGTTAATGACCTAGCGCTTACTTTAGATAAAACCGATTTTTAAACAAAAATGTACAAATGCAAAACTTACAG